AGATATATACATATATATATATATATATATATATATATATACATACATGTAATAAATAATAAAATAAATTAGCAGGCTGTCTAATGCACCCACCCACTGTCTGCTGTCAATCATAAGACATGAGATACATTGGGGGGAATTTATCAAAACTGGAGCAGACAAAATCTGGAGCAGCTTTGCATGGTAACCAATCAGCTTCTCTCTTCAGTTTGTTCAGTTAAGATGTGCAAAAGGAAGAGAAACGCTGATTGGTTGCCATGCACAGCTGCTCCAGATTTTGTCTGCTCCAGTATTGATAAATTCCCTTCAGGCCTTGTTCACACCAAATACAGAGCAGATCTGCATGAGTTTCTGCACACGCAGTGCAGTGGGTTGTACCGCGTTATTGATGCGTTCTGGGCCGTTTTTGGTTTAAAAAAAATAAGTATAATTTTTTTGCTTAAAATTGGCTTCCAGTGCGTTCCAGGGCATTTGCATGCGTTCCAGAGCAGGTAAAATAGGGCCTGCTGCCGTTTTTTTACCTGCTCTGGAACGGAACGCTGCAATGTGAACTGGAGCTAAAAATACCATAGGAATACATTCAACGCAGTTTTGCTCCGGTCTGTAACTGCTCTGCTCCTGGAACACGCTTGGTGTGAACAAGGCCTCATTGTTGTTACTAGTTCAGGTACTTGAATGCATTTTAAGATGTAACCCCATGAGTTTAGTGTCACTTTAAGACCTTCTCCGTAGGATCCATGTTTTAGTCCACACATTGTGGTTTTATGAAGCGATTACCCCTCCCTGAAGAACTGGTACATTCTTAGCAAATAATAAGGATCTGTGAAAATCAATTTGAGCAAAGGTTATATGACAAATAATAAGCAAATAAACTAGACAGGCCTGACATATATTGTTATCTTTACTATAAAAAAGGGTATTATTTTCTGAGCTCTGATTCCATCCATCACGCTGCAGCGGCAACAACCATTACCATGCGTGGCCTTTCTTTAAGAACATGGTGTCAGTTTTCATCTTCCAGACGCAGGCCGGTACCCATTGCCCCATACTGGTAATGTTACAAGTGCTGAATTTCATCTGTGCAGCAATTTCATGCTAACCTGATTCAGTCTATAGCTTCAAGCTACAAACTAATCTCACTGTAATCTGAGTGGAAAAAAAAAAAAACTGGTGTCATCGCTAGATACTGCTGGCCAGAATTGTTTTATTTCCTTGACAAAAGGCTGTAAAACATGTTGGCCAAATGATTCCTTTACTAAGCTACTCAGCAGCAATGACATATTCTATGCTGAAGGTTATTAGGGACAGCAACCCTTGAATTTTATTAAGTAGATGTAAGCCCTATCCAAATGGCATCTAAAGCACTGTGCACCATAAACAACGGTCTTCCTTTAAAACAAAAAAGTTGTTTTCACCTTTTTATCCTTGGTTATATCTCCGTGCTGCTGATCTCCTCTGGCCCCTCTGCAGCCACTTTCTGTCTACATGCACTTCAGCAATGGTTGCATGGTGACAATAGACCATGGTTGCATAATGTGTCTTAAAAAAGCCACTTGTCATTTCTAATGGAAGCCCATGTGACAGGGTCACGACGCGGAAGTACAATTGGCAGGCAATATAGGAAGTGCCTGAACAAGATTTTCAAGGTAAAACTATCAGGTATAATTTTAGTGAAAGCTGAAGATATGTTAATATTGAAAATTATTTTAGAAATAGCATTGCCAAAGCTTATATAAGATTTTAGGGAATGGGCACTTTAATGAAAGCTTTTTGCTTGGGTAAAATAGCAAAAAACAGTCTCAAGGGCAATTCCGAAGGTCATGCATTTTATTTTTTTAACGTTTTTAACTTTTTACCACGTCACGGCTTTAAACAAGTGAAGCCGTAAAATGTGGTTGAATAATAAAAAATAAATAAAAAAAAGTAAAGGACTCCCGTCCTCCTGGGCACACATATGAATATGTAAATGTATACTGGGGAACACATATCGGGTATTACTGCACACCAATGAGAGGAATAATTCTAGACCCTCATTTACAATTGAAAAAGAACTAAAGCCAAAACATTGTTTTGGCTTTAGTCCTATTTTGGATCAAAAGAGTGTATTTACTAATCTCCTCCTGTGACCCAAAGTCAGAATATAGCGGGGTACGGCAGCCAGGAAGGATCCTGACAATATTGTCGGGATCCACCCTGCTGCCAGATTGAGAGCTGGCTCTGCCTCTCTAGACCCAGAGCCAGCTGTCTGTCCCTGCAATGAGCGCTGGAGGACTAAAGGGAGGGGGG